ATAGCATACCGGATTCGTTTCAAAGTGCTGGTTCTCACCTTTAAAGCCCTGAATGGCCAGGGTCCAGCCTACCTTAGGGACCGCCTCTTCCCGTATGTTCCCCCGAGAGCGCTGCGATCGGGGAGTCTGGACCTCCTCGAGGTTCCAGGCCCCCGGGACATTAAGCTTGCCCTAACCACAGCCAGGGCTTTTTCGGTGGCGGCTCGTACCTGGTGGAATGAGCTCCTGGCGGAGATCCGGGCCCTGCGGGACCTTGTACAGTTCCGCAGGGCCTGCAAGACGGAGCTCTTCCGCCAGGCTTTTGAGTAGGAGCCACCGCCGCCACTATACCACCACCGTGGCTTGATTTACCATCTACCTGGCTCTAGGCAGGGGCAGACGTCGCCCAGAATGAGGAACATCACTCTAGCGCTCCGGCTTTTATACCATCGGCCGCCAGTGAGGGACATCGACCATCTTGAACTCTTAAAATGTACTGTAGAGCACCATTTTAGTTTGTATTTATTGAGGTTTTAATGTAATCTATGTTTTATTCTCGGCATTGCCGCCTGTTTGCTGCCCTGGGCCGTATGGGTAGGGCGGGACATAAATCCCTAAATAAATAAATAATAAATGTGCAACTTAAATGAATTATATGTTGTCTTCCCTATCCCCTATGAAAAACATTGTTAGTCCCCTGTCTAAAGAGTAACTGTAAATCACTTTGAGCCCACTTGTGGGGAAAGCGATTGTGAGGAACCCTTCTCAGGTAAAGGGAACCTCAGGAGCCCAAACCTTTCCCGACAGGTATGAAAGAATGGCACCAATAGCAGGGTTTAAAAATGAAATAAGAGGAAAGATTTATTCTTAATGAAAGGCAGGGGAATGGGGAAAACAGTCGGCAACCTACAAGTGGCCGCTACAAACACTATTAACAATGTTTAGGCTTTCCCAAACTCAGAAAGAACTAATAAAAATTATAAACCCTATCAGAAGGTTCCTTACAGTAAGCGGGCAGTTGTGAATTTATACCACCAATAAACCAGGGTTCCCATGATTAGGCTCTGAATCCCAACTAGTCCCTGTGTGAGTGGATGTCTTTCTCTTTTTTAAACTGGGCCTGACCTTTTACTCTGACCAATCCCTTCAGCGGAGTCTGCTCTGCCCCTCTCTCTGGGACATCCTGCCACTGTCTCCCAGACTGAGTGTTTTCTCTCTGAAGGCAGCTACTCAAAAGGCCCCCTCCTCCGTTAGATTTACTCTCTCCAAAAATAACCCCTCCAACCCCCCTTCCAACTGTCAGCTCTCCCCCCCCAGCCCCCTGCTGGATGCTTCCGTTGTCCTGGAGGCGACTCACCAATCAGAGTGAGCGTCTGCTACTACCTCCCCTCAGAGTGGTTTTTCACGGTTCATCACAGCGATTAATAAATCGAAAGCATTATTATTATTATTATTATTATTAGTCCAGATTCTCTGTTCGGCTGCAGGAGTAAAACATCTCTTTACACTCTGTCAGGAAGTTCCTCCTAATGTTTAGCTGGAAACTCTTCTGATTTAATTTCGACCCGTTGGTTCTGGTCCGACTTTCTGGGGCAACAGAAAACAATTCCACATAATTCTCTATATGGCAGCCCTTCAATTACTTGAAGATGGTTATAGCACCTCTCAGTCGTTTCCCCTCCAGGCTAAACATACCCAGCTCCTTCAGCCTTTCCTCATGGGACTTGGTCTCCAGACCCCTCATCGTCTTCCTTGCCCTCCTCTGGACACGTTACAGCTTGTCTACATCCTTCTTAAATTGTGGTGCCCCAAACTGAACACAATACTCCAGCTGAAGTGGTACCATCACATCGCATGATCTGGACCCTACACTTCTGTTGATACAGCCCAAAATGGCCTTTGCCTTTTTAGCAACCGCATCACACTGCTGACTCATGTTCAGTGTACGGTCTACTAAGACTCCTAGATCCTTTTCGCACAGACTACTGCCAAGATAAGTCTCCCCAATCCTATAATTACGCATTTGATTTTTCCTAACCAAATGCAGAACTTTGCATTTATCCCCGTTGAAATTCATCCTGTTTTAGCCCAGTTTTCCAACCTCTCAAGATCACCCCGCATCCTGACTCTGTCTTCCCTTGTCACAATTTGGCACCTTTTTTGGTGTTGCTTTTTTTAAAAAAAACAAAACCTAAGGTAACAAATGACGGTTCAGATGAACGCAATATCCTGAAACACAAACGCATGCGTGATTTCTGACCCCGCTGGTGGTCCTCCTGAGGGCCCCTGTGTGACAGAGAGTGCTCGACTGGAGGGGGCCATTGGCCTGACCCACCACCACCACCACCATCATCATCATCAACTTTGATTTATAAAGTGCCCTCCCCCAGAGGACTCAGGGCAATGTAACCCTCAAAAAGTGCTGTAAAGTCGTCTTCACGCCTGGGTGGACAGAACAGCGATTCTCTCGGTTTGCTTCCCACAATTA